AGGGAGGCGGAACCTCATCTGCAGGCTTTTCAGGGGGGTCCTTGCCATCCCCCTTTCCACCATCGCCACCACCAGAGCCATTCTCAATTTCATCCTGGTGCTTGATGGCAAATTGCTGGCGACGAAAAACCTCACTCACAGAGAGGGGAGGGTGTGAGAGCTACCCGGGTCAGTGCAAAGGAGAAAACTTGAAACCCTCTTTGACAAAGCCCGGTTACCTGGGTTCGTGAGACACCAAAAAATGCGAAACTTATTGGAGCAGTCATGGCACGAAGCTGCTGTCATTGCCAAACTCATGCTCAGGCGGAGTCTCATTCAGGAACCTCTCCTGCGCACGCGAGAGAAGCTCCGGGGCAACCTGAGTCTCAATGTCATCAAAGCCAAAGGGCAAAGAGTCATCAACCTCGACAATCTCAGAGGAAGCTGATCTGTGAAGCTCCTTCTTGGCCTTCCTGAGAGAGCAAGCTGCAGGCCACTAAAAGAGTGACAAATGGAAACAAAAGCTGACACAAAAAAGGGGTGTTTCCATGACAAGACATCAGAGCAACCAAGAAACTCTGCAGTTTGCAGCTTCTTGGCATCCGCAAGCAGCTTTTCCAACCTTTTCAACTGCTCTGCTTTGGCAGCTTGAGACATTGGTGGTTCATCCTCCCATCCCTTTTTGACCAAAGACCTTGCAGTCTTGCCACAACCCTCACCAGCTTCACCCTCGGGTTCCTGTCCCTCCTTGGAGTCCTCATCCTCCAAGACTAGCGCCCCACTCAACTCCGAGGGTTCCACTGGTGCTGCTGTCTTCGGATCATGACCTGCTGCCTCCCCTCCAGCAGCTACAGCCATCTCACAATCAGCGCCCTCTTGACCACCCTCCATCACCTGCTCTTCAGCACCGGTCGCAACTGCATCCACCAATGGTTCTGGTGAAGAGTCCAGGGCAATGGGCTCAGAAGGCTTGAGGGGCAAAGAAGCTGGCACGACCGCTTCCTTTCTCTGTTCTTCTTCCTCCTCATCAGAGAGGAGCTCCTGTTCCTCTACATCGCCGTCCTCCTTTGCCTCATCACCAGCCACATCATCAGGCATGGGCTCCTGTGTTTGACAGTCTCGAAGCCCAAAGGCTCAAAGTAAAGCACTGGCAAGTTGCAGTAGTGCCCAAACTTTGGGTAGGGCCAATCATTGGAGAAAGATTGATAAAGTTTGAAAATGTGGATGTGAAATGGGGTGGGTGTCTAACATTTTTGCCCAAACCATTCCGTCCTCATTCAAGTCAAACCGATCAGGTGCAAGAAGCGCCAAAAGCCGCCTGAACTTGATGTCTCTGGGGACCTGCTGTCTGGCCAGCTTTTTCTTCACCAAGACACAAAAATTCTTGGCAATCTTGGCTTGCTTCTTGATGTCCTTCTTGGAGATCTTGATGCCCATGTCCTCAAAGAAGATCTGCATCCTGAGATGGGCAGGGCTTGAAGGAGAGACCAAGTCAAACCAGAACTCTAAACAGTTTCATGGAGGTCTCCTACTGTACCAGGTATGCCTACTGCAACTTGGGCTCTCAACTTGGATTTGCGAGACCTTATGCATGCAGATTTCATTCTGCTCATTCTTCAGCCTGAGGACAAGGGGAGCTAAGACCTCATAGTTGTGGCTCGCCGTTTTCACTGTGATGTGAATGTCATTATCCCCCTCCAAAGGCTCGAACAGAACCTGGCCCTTCTGCACCAGCTTTCTGACATCCCTTGAGCTGTCCCAATCTGTAGCCACTCCTTCCAAGCAGGCCATGGCCAAAGTCCACGCAAGACAGCTGGAGCTATCAGCGACACTTAAGGATCAAAAAGCACTGGCCGGTCACTAGCAGAGTGGCATGTCAGTGCACAGGAAGGAGATGAAAGGATACAGCCTAGGAAATGGATGGAAAATGGAACTTTGATCGAATATCATTATGCTACATGTTTCTGTTGTTTTGCCTATCAGGTTGAAGGCACATTCCCCCTACACAACTAACCAACATGAGTACAGGTTTCCCAAAGCCTACCTAAAAGATGGCTCCCAAAGCCACCAAACCAACTTTTGGTGCCATTGCAGAGCATCCCATACCATTTTGGTTTGCAATGGCACCCAGGCCACAGCTCCCCCGACCACACCAAGGCCCCAGACGCTTCAGTTGAAGCCAGACCATCGAAGAAAAAAACGTCGAGCATCACCGGCGCAGCCGGTAGCAAAGCAGGGCGAGTCTTTACAGGGAGGTAAGTGTCTCCTGATGATTTGGAACTATGGGAGGTTGATGCTCAGAGGAACTAGAAAGCGTTCAACTACTATTGTAATCTACACTTAAATATCTTGAATGGGCCATTTGTTTGTTCATCATGGAGCCCAATCCAGTGTGATGGAGCCTCATCACAAACACTGAGCCGGGTTTGTCTTGGACCCAGCAGCTGAAGAGCCCTAGAGAACCCAAAAACACCTGGGTCTCAAGGCAAATGCCAACAAACACATGGCTGCGATCATAAGGTTTTGTCAACCTGTGTGAATCTTGTCTCCAGAGTATTTGCATGCATCCCAACATGCAGTCAACCTGTAACAAACATCAGTTCAACAGAGGCCCTATAGCCACTCACCTACGGGTTTGCAAAATACGGCCCTTTCACCAAAATACGGCCCCTAAGGTCTAAAACCTGTCTTTTTTGAGAGGCATGCAAAAAGAGAGGTCAAGCTGGTGCTAGGTATATATATAATATATATACTATACGTAATACTATACGTAATACATCGTAATACTTACGTTATAATGGTGTTACAGTGCTATTTTTTATTGACCCATATGTTCCAAGGGAACGAGGTCGGGTCCAGGTCATCGTCCGATGTCTAGTATAGGTTCTTGCTGGCCCCATGCTCTCGCAAACGAAGGAGTCGGGTCGAGGTGGTCCAGGTCCCTGGCCGCCAGTCCCAAAGAGTCAGTCGGTGCTCCAAGCCTCTGCTGACCCTGTTGATTTGCCAAGGTCATCACCGACAGCCGCTGCTCTGTGACCTTGACCTCGCGCCAGCGGCAGTGATGGCATGGCAGTGGGTGCTCAGCTGGTGCTCAGAAGCCTGGAGTCCAAGGGGAAAGCCCTGCTATCTTGACCCATCCTACTGGCCTTGAAGGCCCGGGTGAAGGCCCAGACCCTCCGGGACGTTTCTTCCGAACGTTCCTTCGCCCCCTGCGGTGCCGAAGTCCAGGCGCAGTTGGGTTTGTGGATGGCATCCGGATGACCATGAAGTACGAATACCCAACAGGTGGTGCCAAGAGAACGTCACCATGATGGTTTCAGAGAGTGTACATCCAATATAGGACTCCGGGACTGGAAGTGGTGCCATCCACTCATTTCACTGAACATGCCTCCATCCTTCCAACGAAATCATGCTAGGATTGGCTGGAACAAAGGAACAAGGAAACAAACCATTTGAGAAGAAGAACCCCGCATCAAAGAACTAAATCAAACCATCAAATCATGTCAAATCCATTCAAATCCCAGATCCTGAGCTCCCTCCGAACCAGCTCCCGACCCGGCTAGGCCTGTGGGCCCAGACCCCCCGTGTCACCCAGCTGGGGAAATGGTCGCTTCCGCAATCAAGCTGAGCACAGAACAGCAAAAAGTGGGGCCATTGATAGCCATTGACAAGATGTGTCACCACCAGGTTTCTCATGGTCAAGGGACAGCTTGTCGATGGAACATGATGGAACCATGTTGAAAAATGCCGAAATCCATCCGGAAGAACCCATCCATACTGACACCTGTGGCGAGCTTACTTCCTCCACTTGCAGAGTCCCAGTGACATAGGTATAGCTCCCACCGGACTTTCCCGTGCGGTGCAACACGTCATCCTGGCACAGGAAGTCACATTGCGAAGCAAGCAGGCTCTTTCTTCCCTATATGGATCCACATAATGCCTTTGAGGTGATTGGAGACACTGACCTATGTAGGCGAAGTGAAGGTCCAATCACCTTCGAAAAGAGGGTATGTGGATCCCTATAGGGTTTTAATGGTTCAACTTAGCAGGCACATCCAGAAGTAGTATCAAGTAGCACGCCATAGCACACCCAAGGCTAACGTCTTCAGAATTAACCGAATCTCGTCACAAAAAGGTCATTTGCCAGATTTCACAAGGCCTATTCAAAACAAGTTTCACCCCATTGATTGGAGCGTACTTATCGCCCCACACATGGCTTGGTGGACAATCCATACAATCTGCGTGCTTTCACATCAGCAAAGAATAAGTGTGTGTGACGAAAGCTGTCGGGGTTGGGGAACTCGCTTGGCCGCTCCAGGTTCAGGCTCCCTGTAGCTCATGGGGCAGAACTGGATACACAGGGCGACCCAAACATCGTGACCGCTCGCACCAGCGAGCTGAAATGCAAGAAGCGCGAAAAAACCGGCGTTCAAAAGCCACAGGTCCAAGTCCAACCCTCGTGTGTTTCTTGTTCCATCTCCAAAAACACAGCTCAAGGACTACGTCTCAGTGGCTCTTGGGTATGTCTTAATCATTGGCTTGGAGAAACTCCACCTATGGTTCTCAAATTTTAAAGGGAACCTCCAAGCTGGTTCGACTTAAATATCACCATCGGGCACTTGGGCGATGCCTGGACAAACAAACATACCGCCAACTCTCGCCTGGACCTGGACCCTCCAACATACCGTACCCTACAACATGGGACATGGCTATTACAACAGCTATATGTGTACTATCTTGTACTCATCTTCCGAGGAACAAAGAGGTCGAGTGCAGGTACTTCCGTCGCTGCGGCCTTTCAAAGTTCTGTTTCACCTCCAGAAGCTACCCCCTTGTAGATTCACATGGACCGTGACTCCGATTTATGGAAGACTCATCTACCACCGGGTCGGGGTGGATGACCCAATGCGGTTGAGATTCTGACGGGATACAGCTCAACCAAAATCCATTGAGTACCTATCCGGACTGGAACATGGACTTCCATTGAGGCCAAGTCAACCCAAACACTGCGATTTGGATGCATTTGACTTAGCTGTCCATAGGTCTGTTGCTGTTTGATTATATATAATCTTTAGTGGTTTTATAGTTAAAAATTGAATCCCTTCCAAACCAAAAGGACCTTCCGGGGCCAAGAGTACGTATGCCTTTTCCAACAGTCAAGTTGACTGTTGCTTCTGAGATCCTGAGGCTCACCCATCACCTCCCGCAAACGCACCCAGCACCGGCCTGGTCCACACTCACGTGACCCCCAGCCAACATCAGCTGATTGTCATCATCCTGATCTCACCAGCTTGGTCGAAAAAGCCGAGTTCGGATTTGCTCACCACATGTGGGGGGTTTACAAGTTCACGGTTCATGTCATAATTTAGATATAGTTTGAGATACACTCTCACTGGAAGTGATCTGCTTAACTGATTGAAAGGACTTGATCTGCTGCATGTCGGTAGATCTTGATTTCAGCAGCGGTCACGAAGGATATGGATATATAGGCACAGTGTGATACGGTGCTGGAAGACTGAAGAAAGAGTGCTGAGGAAGCACCCTACTTTGCGCGCTGGGTCAAGCAAGGTAGGGGCCACTCTTCACCAGCATGGAGAGAAGATACCAGGTGACAGGCATCCTTGTGTGAGAGAGTTCAAGAAGAACCAAAAGACCGTCCTTCAAGAGTATACTGTCTATAGTATGAACTCCCAAGATATCCTTTTGGATGACGTAGAACTGGATGTTCTGGTGATGTAGAACTGTAGACTTTACTGCTTCGGGGGTCGACGGTGTCCCTGATTTCCACCACTGTGGCTCCACAGAACATCACAGAACTATATATTGTAAAGAAAACACAGTCCATGGAAAAAATGAAACAAACAGCACAGAGAAGGCCGTATAATAAACAATTCCATCATCTACATCAAGAAAGACAAACCACACAAACCATACGAGAAACAGTGCTTCGTCTGACGTGTGTTTCGTCTTCGGCTTCTACCTATTCACACCACGGTGGTCGTCGACTTCGCCGTGGGACAATGGTGAGGTTGATGATCCCCGAAGTGGTGGAGACTTCCATCCCACGGATGACAAAGCCCTGCAGCCATCCTGGCGCGCCAGCGCGAAGCGAGGCGCTAGTCGTCGGACGAGTGGACTGAGGATGAAAAGGGGTTCCCCATGCGGCGGTTCTACTTCAGTGTTGTAATGGAGAAACATGTAACAACATTCATGTGTCTTAGGATTTTGCTGAGACTCCCTAACAAATCCTCTATCAACTTTAATGGATCATCTTGAAACTGTGAGGGCTCCGCTCAACATTTCGCCACCCATGAGTCATATAGACCTACATCCAAGACCCTTGCGCTGGGCCAACCGGATTGGTAACATCCAATGCAGTGAACCTGAATCAATCCTGCAACATAGTTTTTGCCGAACCATGCCAAACATGGCCATTGTCGAGCCTGTTACGCTGCTAAATCTTGGGGTTCTGTGTACTTCACCAACCCCCGGTGTGGAACGGTTGAGTCAGAGAACCCTCTCTTCGCGTTCTCTGCTTCACCGTGCACCCGCCGCAAAAAAGCACCCAGCGCCTACGGTCTTCACATGCCCGTTGGTCAGCAACCAACAGCCTTGAAGCCTGGTCGTCCCAGGCTTGCGGCATACGGGCCCGTGGCATGCAGGCCCTCCCTAGCGGCCCTGGTGGACAGGTCCAACGCTGCATTTGGAGATCCACCAGGTCCACCAGCTTGTAATGATTAGCAAATGTCAACCCATGGCTCATGACACTTGGGAGTATTTTCATTTCAGTTTGGACCCCATTTCGGCACTCGGAAACTCTAGAAACATGTCGAAGTCTGCCCACCTTCTGAGGCGATGTTGGTGTCTTAGAAGTGCCAAACAAACAACGATCAGCGAGATGAAAGAACGTATGAAGGTAGGGGACGAACAAGACCGAGCTCCAAACAGACCGTGCCAGGTCCAAACAGGTGCCAAATAAGACCGAACCCACCCAATACTCAACAGGCCGGGTGGTTTTTGGGATCCGACTTGGACTCCTTGGGGTCCCTGAGATCGAGAGTCGACCAAGCTCTATCAGCTCCGAGGCCGAGACCCCCCACAAACGATCCCGACCGGTGGTGGTTTCGACCATTTTCCGAATGCAACAAAATACTCTGTGGTGTTGGGTCCATGGTGGGCCCTGTACGCGAAGGTCCCTCCAACAACTGCACAAGAGCAGGAGAACCCTGAAGGTGTTTCACGTTCTGAACAGCGCAACATCCCAATTTGAGGTCACTGAAGCTGCAACTCTTGCATGTTGAGTTGACGTACATGGAATCTGGAAGGTTGATAAAGCATCTTGAAACCACCCGAAGTTACGCTGGTGCATCTACTGTAAGCCTCCGTGCTAGGTGGTCCCCTTTTTTGTCAAGGGCTTGTATACAAACCACACACCTACACAGGAGATCCGATGGCAATGGTGGTTCTTCGAGTGAAGGGATGAAGGGAGGTACAGTATCCCAGACTTGTTGTCCACTCGTCTCCACTCACTTGGGCCCCAACTTGGAATATGGGACAGGTGGCGGGACCTCTGGGGGCTTGTGGATGCCATCTTCTTTGGAAATCCAACACAATCCAACACACCTTTTCATGGTCTGTACATTTGCCTAGTGCTTCAAAGGGTGTCAAATGGAGACCTATAACTAGTAGTGTCGGGTTGTCCAGCCAGTCACCCCGACAGGAAGAAGCTGGTATGTTCTGTTCGTCGTGATCACATGCGATCACCAGATCACCTAGTGCCAGGTCAACCGTTTCTTGCAATGTCTTCCCCCACAAGGTTGTGAAACGGCGTCTTCAGTTTCGTAACCTCGCCTGTGCAGAGCTCGTTCAAGCTGCACCTCACGCTCCTCCAGGCGATGACCCCACGGGGCAGGCGTCTTTTAGATGGGGTCCAGTCTATGGAGAGCCTATTCCAATCCACACCCAACCAGGGGGGCCCACAAACCATAAAAGACCTGGTTTTCCCTGGTCCACCTGGTTTTTGTATGAGTTTTTCCCTCCACTCTTCGGTGTTCTTGGGCCCAACGTGGTGGTCTGGACCCACCGAAACATGCTCGTCTCCTGTCGAGGCGATGGTGGCCTTGGGGGCCGCGTGCCTCGGGATTCGGGGACCGCGTGTCTTACGAAGCGGGACTCGGATTCCAAGAAGCAACAAAAAGCCAAAGCGTCCATGTATGGAATGGTTATCTCCATGGTCATCGATTGGGTTTATGATCGTATGTACTATGATCATATAATGTATTAATATGATCAATGATCATATGTATATATAACTATAGTCCAATGTATGGAATGGTTCCCGCCCGTAAACTTCCATATAGGAAGACCAACCCCAGTGGTTTGGGGGTTCCATGTTCATCTGCAAAGGAGTATCTACATTAGGGTAACAACTATGATAATAATCCACATATCCATTGGGGTCTTGGGAACGAAAAAAGGGGATCATCCCCCTGGCAAGTGACCAAGTGGATGGGGGATGTTCATCGATTGGTTTCTGCAATCTTTCGGTTGGTAGAGTAATCGCATAAATTGTTGAGTGGAAGGAACCTCTGTTAGAGAAAGTGTCCCTCGAGCTCTAACCATATCCTCAGAAGCCACAGTTAGACCCCCCGCAATCCCACCCCAACCACCGAACCTCAGGAGGTAGTTGGAGTTTTCGGGTGTCAGAGCTGTTGAGAACCTGTGACAGCCTGTGCCCCACAGTCGGCCCACAGTGTAACTCATGGTGACCGAAAAAGAACAAACGAAGGAACACCGCTACAGATGGCACACCATGCTAGGGGTGTCAGCCTGCTTTGAGTCTCGCGAAGGTTTTTGGCTTTTCGTCGACATGGGAGGTGCTAAGCCGCAGGCACTTGCAGTGCCATCCGATCTTGTTCCAAGATATCCTTGGTGAACGCTGATTTGAACCAGCGGTTCCAGGCTGGCATTTGTTTGATGCAACATGGTGCAACATGAAAAGCAGATCTGAATACCTCAGATTTAGCTGTTAGACTATAGACTCTAGACCTTTTCAACCTTTTGGAAAAGGAGACCACCCAGGAATGGGGTCACCACCAACCATACCTTGGCTACATATGCAACATGATACATGGATCGGACCCTTTGTCTTTTTTTTGGTCGGATGGCAAAACATGGCAAAACATGTTTGTAGTAAGACGGACAAGGATGGTTTCAAGATTCTAGATCCCCATACGCTCCTATCGAGGGTGATGTGTTCCACGCAGCCTAATGTAGGCGATTTCGTGAAGGCCCAGTCGTACCTTCTGAGAAGGTGGCAATGGAAGTTGACTTTTGGGGGATTACATTCCCTGCACCGACTCTGTCGCAGTTCTCAACTTATCGTTGAGACAAACAGCGCAAAGCCGGTCGATGGCCTGGCCTCCTCAAAGCTCGTCGAGGTGAATTTGTGTCGGCATCTCTCTAGCACCGGATGGTACCTCCTCTGGTACCTCCTCAGAGTACCCTTTGGACGGTTTTTGGAAAAAAACGGCTTCGTCTACCAGTACCCATGTTCCACGGGAAAGCTCGGTCGACACCGCCAAAGCTGCTCGGTCTGGACTTGAGCATCGCTTAAGCACTTTGCAGGAGTCACCTGCCTTGCAGGACCGTGCTGCGCACGGTTCCGTACTGGTCAAGTTGAAATGCTTGCCTTCCTGCAAAAGGCAAGTCAATTAAGTGAGACACCAATGTTCACCGATTTGAATGATCGAACCTTTCCAGTTTGGAGCGACTATACATGCCAATCATGAACTCATTGTGTGGCTGGTGTTTCACTCGGAACCTTGTTGCACCGGAATCGGTTCACAAGAAGCACGTTGCTTGGGACCAACCCTGGCATCCCCACCCACCAAGTGCTGGGTCTGCGCAAAGTGCTGGGTCCGGGAACTGATACATCTGTTTAAACATGGGTCAACACGATCCACAAACAACATCATTTTCTATGCATAGACGATCATATAATTATAATCGATTATAACAGCAGTGATCCACTCACCCATTGCATTGGAATTGGGCAAAAGGACTGTTCTCCACCGGACTCGTCCCCGGACTCGCCTCAGATAGTCCGGTTCGATTGACCAGCTGGCCGCCGACAGGCTCAGGACGCTGTCGTTGAACTGCGCCCGAGAGGTAGGACCGGTGATGCCGTGGAACGCAGCGAAAAGGCCATCCTAAGGTGTTTAGTCTAATGTGGACTCTTGATTAAACCGAACCGTTGGAATTGGAAGTGCTCTTCATATGGGAGGTATATATATGAATCAAGAGTCTACAATTACATGAAATTCAGAACACAGGATTAAGCTTGGCCTGTGCCCTTTGTCTTCTACAAATACAGCTTTATGATGCTTTATGTGTGGTTGTAGACTCCGTCGAAAGAAACCAACGAGCCCAGGGGAACCGCATCTTGCCAAGACGCGAAGGAGTTTCAGAGAGCGTGCAAACCGACTGAATGAGGTCTCTTAATTCTAGAACAAACGGTCTCTTATGGTCTCTTTGTTCATCTTCTACGTAGCGGTCTCCTCTTACATGTACCTGAAACAACTCCCTGAAAAGCGTATTTCAAGAGTGTCTCAGAACGGTGTATCACAACCTTGTAGCACCAGTGCCATGCGCAAAGGTGTCTGACCAGGGGGTCAAGTAACTGTCAAGAGATCTTTGCGCCTCCAAGGAGCAATGGCTGCAGGCGCAGCTCAGATCCAGTGCTTTAGGACGACTCTCTCTACCGAAGGCATTGTCCGAAGGCATCGTCCGAAGGCTTCGTCCGCCAGAATCAATTCTTCTTGCCGAAGCTCCGCTGAACTCAGCAGCACTGGAAAGGCTCATTGGAACTGGAAAGAAGGCGTCTCTGGTTTTGCGAAGGCGTCGATGCGCTGCGATGAGTGGTTGCCTGATGGTCGGACCGTCAGATTTGATCAGCAGTGCTACTAGCAGTGCTATCTTTATGGGAAAATGTTGCTCGAGCGCTCCAATTGCCACACGGCGCATCCTGCATGGCATGTGCCTGGCCCATTGGCTCCACATCTAGGGCTTTGGCGGATACGCCGGTCCTGAGTTCAGAAAACCATATTTTTGGGAGCCACTGCGTCAGCTGCCTGTTGGAAGCTTAAGAAGAGCATGATCCGACATGCTTTTTCAGTGTGCACACCCGCTTCGCATCGAATAGCATTCCCGGAGTTATGCCCAAATTGCATGGAATTGATGTCAAGAATCTAAGAAAGTAAAAGCAAGTATAGCAACATAAAGTGACAAGGACATCACATACATTCAACACTGGTGTGTAAATTCAAGATGCCTTGATCTCATTTTTGTCCACCCTCCCGAGAAGTTGTTCTTCGCTGCATGCCCAAAAACTACTCTCCCCAAACCAAGCTGAATGGGGTTGCTCGGCAAAAGTATAAAACCAACAGAATTGGCAGCATGTCAGAGATGAGTCACCGATTGACAGATATTGACCGCCCATCAAAGGCGGGCACTGGGCAGGACAGAGTCCTTACAACATCTGCAACCCGGACGCCATCGTAAAGAGTGTGATTATGCAAACATGGTTCGCCCAGAACATGCTGCAGGGTCTCATAGAGTACTTTGGAGGGTTCAGGCAAGTAGAGATGACCTACACACCACCAAGAACATCCAAACATGAAGGTCACAGTTACTTGCATGGAGCATCTGGAATTACCGAGCACTTGGTGTTTCCCTCGGTCAACATATATCTTCCAGCAGTTCCAAAGGGTTGCTATATGTTGCTATCCATGGAGGTTCGGGGAGTCTATAGGGGTGCTCTTCTTGTCACACGCGCTCACTGGATGGGACGAGCCACACCACAAGTGACAGGTATCCCTTGCAAACCCAGGGTTTCAGGTGATTTACCCTCCTCGAGGCGGTGAAACAGTCACTTCGATCCCTTGACTTCGAAGATCACTTCTACCTACAGTAGCTGGACCTTCCAACTTTGCAAAATGTCTGCCTTTTCATCTATATATATTATAGAACATTATAGAACCAGCCAACTAACAGGCTGAACTTTTGCATAGTTGGTAATTGGTATAGAGTTTGGTTTATTCCCTGGAACCAAGTGGTACCAGGGGGTGCTCCAGTCCTACCTGCTTTCCTCCGCCACCCTCCGACCGGGCCTCCCCGACGGGTCTCAGCTGGCGGCCGGAACTGCTTTGCTGCGGAAGGAGATCGGCCTTGCCAGGCGGGACAGGTCCACCGAGCCAAGGGAGCACGGACAAGACGTGGATCGGACGTCGGACGTGGATCGGACGCAGCGTATACTCGTGTAGCTCGTACCGAGGCCATGGAACATGTGGTCAAGTACAAGTTTGCATCTTTGTAGCCATGTTCCAAGGTACGAGCTGAAACTCCAGGAAGCTCAGCTTGTGTTGTTTGTGAGGGTCATCTCCAATGTTCTAGGGTACCAATGAGTCTCACAGCAGAGTTCACCTTCTTTCCCATCTGACAGGGCCACCCGGGTGACTCTCCTGGACCATCCCTTCCATGAACCCAGACCATCCGGACGTCTGTGTGAATAGCTACCTAATGTTACCTACATGATTAGGATCATAAATGGGATAAATGATAAACTATATACAACTATATAGATCCCTTGTAACTTGCTTGCGTTCCATTAGACCTTGCGGCAGGAACTTGAGCTGGAGCCCGCAAAGAAAAGTCGGAATCAGGTCATCACCCCATGTAAAAATATGTAAAACATGGTCATAGGATGCCATAGGCATATTTTGCATTGTAATTGCATCCATGTCTTGTTGAACATGGATTCGACATCCTCAAGATGAAGAAGACCCAAAAGACCCCGGCTAGAAACCATCAGCATCCGCCTCTGAGCGCATCCGAGGGCTTTCGACCTCGGCCTTGGGGACGGATCGGCACAAGGGATGTACCTAGAGTGTCACACCATGCTGTCCCTAGAGTCTCAAAGGAACTCAGAAAGCTGGAATCAATTAGAAGTACCAGTTTTCTGTTTAGGTCATGTCCCAGGTTCAGTACATGAAGTCGGGTCCAGGTAATTAGCTCGTTTTCCATCGTGTCATGTCACATGTCCCATGTTCAAAGGTATGAACTGGAGGGTCCAGGAACTGTTGGAGCTGCAGCTGGCAGCTCAGGCAGCTCAAGGGACGAGTCGTCAGGTCAAGTTCCACCCGAGAATTGAATCTCTTGAGGGCCCCTATAACCTCCCAAGACTATTCTTAAAATGGTTGAGCTGGTTTCGTCGTAAAATCCGTAGTAAAACAATGGTTGTTCAATACGAACCACTGAATCAGCGGCTGGAATTCCATAATTTCTATATATTTGGGCGTGTAATGGTGTATATATTGTCCATCCGGTTTGGAGTGTAGGGACACTTGCTATGGAGGGTCTGTCCTGAACAATCTTCCCCCGCTTCACGTACAGCAACACTGGGAAGCTCGATCAAATGAACACGGATTGGAGTTAAACACTGCAAAAGAACCTCAAAGCCGTGCAAAACATCGAGAGTGGTGACACCTTCAAGAACACGTGTCAACGGTCGACACGACCGGAACGGACTTTCGATGGCGTAAGAAGTCTTCAAATGGTGAAGCTTCCGATTCACCAAGATACCCTCCCGTTTCGGATCCGTTTTCGTACCGAACCTCAGGTTCGGTACGGCTGGACCCTCCTGGCACCTATAGATAATTCAGTGTCTCCTTCTTCACCTAACCTGAGAAGGTACGACTAGATCCCTATAGGGCCTCGTCTAAGCCTATCAACGCCTCCCAAACGTGGACACTTGAATTCCGCCCGAGGGTGGATGTTGGTCAGGCGGTGCACAAGGATACCGACAGAGCCGCTGAATCGAAGAGGTTCGGAGAAGCAGAGTTTTTTAATTGGAAACCCAGTGGCCCAGTCCCAGTAACAAGTCTGGATGGAACTTCCCAGTTTCAACCACTTTGACCTCCATTGTCGGATTGGGGAACCATTTGTTTTTGATCGGGACTGCCTTTCTGGGTTTGAAGCTTTATCCAAGGTGCACAAGATGCATTCTGTACGCAGCTATATGTGCCTTGACATTGGGGGGACCTGCCCTGCAGAATCTACAAGGGAGGTACAGGGGGCAAGCTTTCCTAAGTTAAATGTGAAACAGTGTCAAGCCACCAAGGAAAAGCCTTTGATGCATATATACCCTAGGGATCCAGTCGTACCTTCTCAGGCTAGGTGAAGAAGGAGACACTGAATTATCTATAGGTGCCAGGAGGGTCCAGCCGTACCGAACCTGAGGTTCGGTACGAAAACGGATCCAAAACGGGAGTGGTGATTTCATTCGGGTCCAAGATGGCATATATACCTTCTGAGAAAAGTGGAGCATGTGGATCAACCTGGAGTCGCCCCGTTCCTCGGAAAGCCTGAGGCCACTGGGGCCCAGTGCCTCTGAAAGGGTTCGGTTCATGGGCTCGGTGTCTCATGTTGGAAAAGCTACGAAGGATGAAGGATGGGGTGTAGGAAGACCCCAAAAACCTCCGGGAAACCAATGATGGACCCCCGGTGGTTTGGGCATGATTGAGCACCCCGAGTCCGACGCCAGCTTTCCAAGAACACCTAAGGGGGAGTTCAGATGCTTTCAGGGTCCGGTCCATGTGTCCGTCTTCAAAGCGGAGCTACTCAACGGCCAGTCTATAGAGCTTTCCATCCAGTCCCACCTCCCGCCACGAAGCGCCCTTGCTGCCAAGATGCACCGAGGCTGAGGTTGGACCCCTGCTTTGGCCACCGAAGGCCTGGGGAACTGCCTATCCCATCCTGAGCTTCACCGAAGACACACGTCGTCCGGAGCCGGAGCCGGGAGCCAGTGTGAGGTGGTGGTGAGGTGGTGGGTCGACCTGTTCCCGGAGTTTCAGGTCGCGCTGGCAGGAAAAAGGAGTAGTTTCGTGCCTGTTTCTTCCTTGGGGTCGTGTCATCTGATTCCTTTGCTGTACTACTTTGCTTTGAAGATGCACCACACTGTTGACCAACATCGATGAAACAACCCAACATCGACAGTGGCAGAAGATGGGCCCACATTGTCGGGATATGACATCCACACCATTCCAACCAGTCAAGGCAATTCAAAGGCCCGGCCCTTGGCGCTCAACCCCAGTTGGACCATGCTGCGGCGAACATGATCAAAGCAGCCCAGAGTCCGGGGATTCCGGTGCAAGTGTGCAAACAGTGCAAACATCCTACGAGATCCTGGAGGCTGAGGAAGGGCCCGGGAAGGGATGGGCTACTAAGTAGAAGTCCACCGAGCACCGACCTTGTTGGATGATCTTTTTGTTTGTTATCTCTGATATTTGCTCCACAACGAGGCCTTGGAATGTTTGTTGTTCATTGCTTTTCGAATGTTTTATATAAGTTTTTTGTTTACCAAATGACCTGAAGAGTAGACCCACAGCCTACATGACCAGGCGCCCTGTGCAAAAACGCCAAGCCGGTTGGTCGAACTTCAAAAACACCTGAAACAACGTGCCCCTTGGTTCGCACACAAGCCGAAAAAGCAACAGATTCTCATGAAACCTGAATCGTCCCCAGAACAAGAGGGCGCATTCGGCTCAGCTCTGAACATGTGTGAAAGAACAACATGGATGAAAACCATATTGTGTCAGCAAATCAAATTCAAAAAGAGATCCCATATGCCAACTATTAAATATATATATAATATATTATATTATTAGCTTCCTTCAGTTAAGCATTTTATGATAAACACTATGAGGCCATTCTCCCCTACTTGTTCGAGCAAGCAAATCAATCATAACATATCCAAGCATTCCAAAACTAAGATTTGAAGGCTTTCCACATTGCTATGACCTCAACCGTCAAACCCAACCAAAACACCACCACCACCACCACCACCACAACAACAACAACAACAACCACAACCACAACCACAACCACAACCACAACCGCCACAACAACAACAGTTAACAGTCAAAGGTGTTTTCTTTGCGTTCACACCTCGGCGCCCATCCATCGGTCCATCCCAGCAGCCATCGAAGGTCTCCGACGTCGCTTGTCGCGTTCACCCAACTGCGCGGACGTCGGACGTCGGTAGAAGTGGACAAGACGGAAGGGTGGGGGTCAAGGGGGGTCAGCCTACAAGTAGGCTTAGCTTGCCACACCAGGCTTCGCTTGCCTAGCGAAATCTGATGTTCCTCACTTTCGGCCGTCTCCTTGTCGCCTTGTTCAAGAGAAAGGGGATATGAGCCAGGACATGAAAAGCGTCACGCGTTGCTGTCCATCAACATATCATCGTATAATAGTTACCTGGACCCGAGAGTACATAGGACATGACCCGGACTAAAGAACAGGTACCCGTACGACTACCCATTTTCTGAAGCACTTACTTGCGCAAAACACATCAAAAGGCCCTTCCAAACCTTGACCAAAGGTTGTAAATGTTTGGCGAGTGCACCGAATCCCTTCATACTTCTCGATCTTCTTTGCATAATCACAATTCCTGTATGTGCATCTGCAAGCGGTAATCAGAGCCACAGCGATCCACAGCTATGTCCGTTTCAAGTGACCAGTCTCTGCCTATCAAGAGGGAGTCCGAAAGGTAGCAACAGTTAGCAACAGTCCTGACATGTCCTGACGTACAAATATGAATGGGCTGAATGGGTGTTGAACAAGTCCACTAACCATCCTCCACCATCTCCCCCCACCGAACGAACCGTTTGCCCCCGCTCGGCCGCTGCGCGGGTTCCGAACCGCAGCTTCGCGGGTGGAACACCGCCTGACGTCCTTCGGACAGAATGGAGTGATTCGACCGCACGGAGGAACCACTGAGGCGCTTCTGCATCGGCCTTGGTCGGACGGTCGCGGACGGACCTGAAGCATGGAAGGACCCTATTTGACCCAAAAACAAACACGGACCAGGGCCCCTTTCAGGTGGTCAATAGCCGTAGCCACCCCAAAAAACCTCGAATAGGAACTATTCTTGGACAACCCCGAGTTTCCTGGGCCCTGACATGGTGTACTACCCATGTTGCGAGGTACAAACGGGTCGACCGTGCTTGAAATTGAAACGACGTGATTGCAGCCTGTCAGTGCTTTATATGTTGTACACCGGTCTGAAACGACCTGATGCCGGTCGTGGATCCGGTGGCAACCAAAAGAAGCTCTGGGCACCATGGCGGGCCAGGAGCGGGAGGTGTGAGCTCAACTGGCTTTGCTGGCGGGCCAGCCTTGGAAAACGCGAGAACCGGCAGACAACCCGAGAGATCGAATCAGGTCGCATTGGTCTTGAGATTCATTCGCAATACGTACTTGGACCTTCAGGGCGGGTGTCCTGGCTGGAGGTCCCGATAGGTCGTGTAGGGGCTTCCAGCCAGGTGACACCTTTGAAGATCCAGGTACTTGGAGTCCCTAAAGAATTTGGAGAGTAGGACACGCCACAGAGCTTTTTGAGGTACTTGGTCTAGTGTTCGTGAATAAGGCACCAAAGAAGAGGTGCCATGTTGTTTTGTGGCTGTTGAAATTGCTGTGGACATTCTGTCATTCTCCCATTCAACAGACACCAATGCGGGTCCGTCCGCGCCAAGATGTGGTGTCTGTCCCGTTTTGCGAAGATCTGCACATTCCCCGCTGTTCAGGACATTCCAGGAGTCCTGCAAAAAATAGTCGTTTCGATTGTGGATGAATTTCTTGACACGCACAAACATCGATGTGGACAACCACACGTACCAAGCTCCTCAAATGTCTGTGCAGAATGCGCACTCTCCAAGAAACTGTTGGAACCTCCATGAACCTCCTCTGGATGTTTTGCAACATTTGATTTTGCATTGGCCGTTGTTGAGTCGTAACTTCTGGGGAGTGTGACAAGTGACATGGACATGAACTGCACAGAATCTGATCAGAAGGTCCGGTGATCTTACTCCCCCGCTACAATGCCCTCCTGCTAAACCTCGTGCCACCTTACTGTGTTCAAGATGACCTCTTTGGAGTCTCTAAGTGACCTCTTCAGAGATGAAATAACAGGTCAATTTGAAGGTCCTGAACGGTGTATGTTTCCTATGTGCCTGGACCCTCCGGGTCATATCCTTGAAACTGGGGTATGGCCCAAACACAACGCAAATACAAGTGTCCCCATTTTCCGAGGAACCAACGGACTCCAGGTAGATGACTTCAGTATTTGTTCTACAGTTCAGGGCATTTTGGACATGGATAGATATTCAGGATCCAGCACTTTGCTCCGTTTGCATGCTTGATCCCGACCCCAAACCCACCGTCAGATCGTTTCCGGTCCCGGGGCCCCCACCGGCGTTTCCAGCTTGATCGTGACGTTGTGATTGCCTCCACCCACACGAAAGGTTGGGGTGGGCTGAAGCCGGACATCCAGCTTCAACGAGACATTGCCAGCGCCGAAGTCACGGACATTCGGAAGTTCGGTCCACCTAGAATGACCATTCAAGAAGGTAAAAAATCGTTTTGGACAGGTCAAAGATCAACCAGGTCAACACATCCGATCTACCAACGCGTTTGAACCTGCGATCGCTGAAGGAGACACTCCCCCCGTGACGTGAATGCCCCAGAAGGGGTGCAGAAGGTGCAGCAACGCAGCTATTGTGATCTTGCAATCCCAGTGGTTGAGGTCTGTATACTGTCTACATTTGATTAACCATCCCAATGATTTTGGCCGGCTCTCATCGATTTAGTCTTAAGACTTAAGAAATAACTACTGTCCACCCCTGAAAAAGGGACTACCACGTACGCCCTGTAGAGCGCAGGCCAACAGTTTCATTTACGTGAGGGCCGTGCAATATCCTTTGAGCCTTGAAGAAGCAGAACGCTTGCAACTGCAGCTGTGCAGAGGGGCTGTGCCAGCAGGCAACTAGATCATAACACACTCCATACACAGAGCACCGTGTCGCTGTGTTCTTTGTGTTTTTAGGGAAAAGTCGAGTCCAGCAGAACTCTGTACAACCAAGTACTTGCTATCAGCATGTATCTATCCAAAACGCGTTGTTTGCTGCTGCTTCTACTAGCTGGTTTCTCAATGCAGGTCCTCTTTTCTCTTTCTCTAACTCTGCCATGTCACACATGTCGTCTATGGCGTCCTCAGAAGAAAACCATGACTGTTTCCGTCGTAGCCGTATGCTGGAGGCACCTTTGTTGTCACTTGGTTTGTCATAGCTATTCCTGCTGGTTCTCTTCTGACATACCTATTGGGAAACGCTTGTGGCTGAAACCATATGCGTATCAGACTCTTTCCAATCCTCTGTCCAGCCCACTGCTAAATCTACTATATAATTACCACTAAAAGAGGGAACACTTCGTACAACCTGTCGAGCGCAGGCCAGCAGTTTCATTTATGCGGGAACTGTGCTATATCCGTTGAGTCTTGAGGAAAGAAAATTCTTAAAACTGCACCTGCGTAGAGGGAGTGTGCTACTACAGCTCGAGAACCCAAACTAAAACACACCCCACTCTAATGAATAACAAAGCTTGAGGAGGGCTTTTCATCCGGTGTCGACAAATTATATAGACTTTAGTTCACTTGGGATTCCAAACTAGTGGTGGTATAAATGAGGTCATACAACAAAGGCAGGTATCACCTGAATTATTCACACTTTGGACATATCAAAGATGCGGTGTGCTTAGAGAAATGAAGCGGTCAAAAACCAACCATCACATTCCAAGAATCTCCATCTGACAATCAATTACAGTATCTCACCAAACATCACCAACAACATGCATATACCTGGACCCTCCAGCTTGTAACACTAGAAAAGCGGGACGTGACCCAAACAAAATGCAGTAAATACTCGCCCATTTTCTGAGGCAAACCGAGACTCCAGGCACATTCAACCTCCTCGACCGACATCATATGGGCAGTTAAATGGAGACCTACCAGGCAACGACCTCGTGGAAGAAGGAAACAAAACAGCCTACCCATGGTTTGGGAAGTCTATTAAAATACAAATACCTGGACCCTCCAAAGCATTTCAGAAAAATTGGACATGACTCCAGAAAAAAATTACTTTACTTCGAGTGATCCCCACCATGACATGTCAATCATGTTTTGATGCCATGGTGAGGAGCATGTTGCCATGGTCGTGAGTATTGTAGCTCTCGATTTTGTTTGTGGGCGCTCGGGTTGTGTGCTGTGGTTGTGTGTTGTGGTTGTGGTTGTGTGCTGTGTTGTGGTTGTGGTTGTGTTTGTGATTGTGAGTTAGTGGCTGTGAGTTTGTGATTGTGTGTTTGTGTGTTTGTGTGTTTGTGATTGTGTTTGTGGTTGTGTTTGTGGCTGTGTTTGTGGCTGTGTTTGTGGTTGTGTGTTTGTGGTTGCGTGTTTGTGGTTGCGTGTTTGTGGTTGTGTGTTTGTGGTTGTGTGTTTGTAGTTGTGTGGTTGTGGTTGTGTCTTTGCGACTGTGTGTTTGTAGTTGTGGTTGTGGTTGTGGTTGTGTCTTTGTGATTGTGTGCTTGTGAATGGGTTTGTGGATGGGTTTGTGGTTGTGTGTTTGTGGTTGTGTTTGTGTTTGTG